TTTGAATTTATAATCTTTTCAATTTTAATACCAATAATTTTTGAAATAGTTTTTAATATTACTTTAATTAAAAAAAAATTTATTAAGTATTACTTTAATCAAAATCAAAAATTGATTATATATTACTTTAATTTATTATATATTACTTTAATCAAAATCAAAAAGTTTAGCAATTAAGCTTACATATTACCTTCATGCTGAAAGCTAAATGATTGCAAATTTCAAATTTAACATTTTCTGCACCTATTTTTATTTTAAAATAACTTAAAATTTTTGTTTGCTAGATTTTTGTAGCTTAATTTAATTAAATAAGCTTTACCGATTGATATATTTCTCGAGAAAATTTTTATAATTTTTGCAATCTGATATAAAAATTTGACTTTAGTGATAAATTTATAATTGATATAAACTGTTATCATATCTCTACTAGCCAAGCCAATAAGTGTTAAATTTTTCATCTAATGTTACCTAAGTTTCAAAAGCAGAATTTTATATTTATATTTTTAGCTTAAATTATATTTTTGTCAAATTAATTTTTTCATTTAATTAAGAAAAGTTTATTATTTAAAAAATTCCATTCAGTTTTAATAGTTTCAAATAATTACAGCTATCAGTTTTACGTAATTTATGCATATTTTAACAATTTCAGCAGTTTATGCTTATATTTGAATTTATAATTTTAATTTTGCGCTCAAATCTTTTAGAATAATTGATTCGTGATAATATGAAGTTATTATCAGAACTATATTTGATAACTTTTAAAAATAACTAATTAATTGATAATTAGTAAAACTGCTATAGAATCCTAATTATTATTGATTAAATCTATTAGATTCAAAACATTTGCTGTTAAACTGAATGAAATTATGAGAAATTTAATATAATTTTTTTTTTTTTTTGCTCATTAAATCATTAAATGATCAATGCCGCATTCTTTAAAAGCATTAATTGATTCAACTGATTTAATCAATATTATCAAATCAGTGTAAATAATTTACCAATATTATCATATCACAATATCAATGTAATTTAAGTAGATTAAGGATATTAAATGTTAAATTATTTTTATAATATCAATATTCTATCAGTTATAATCAGTGTGACATTTTTGTGACAATTTCTCCTTTCCTAAATTCATTTGCATTCAAATGAAAGCACTTTTAATGATTTGTTAATTTATCAATTTTTTTTCTTAAACGCTCTTGCTGATCACACAGCTAATTGATAAATAACACATTTCAATTGTTTAGCTGATAAGATATATCAAAATGAACTTTTATAAGATTGATCTGAACATCTTAGCTAAATCATTCATTTATTTTCAAATTAATTTTTATTATCATAAACAACCAACAATTTAATTCTATTAATTTCATTCTTTGTCTTTCACAGTTTTCCTAAAATTTAATCATTTCCCATCCATTAAATCAATTAATCTATTTGATAATAATAAATCAATCTTATGTGCAACAAATAATTCTTTTTTTTTTTATCTCATAAATCGATTTGAAAATTGATTTATTATTATCAGTGTGTTTCAATCAGTTACAAAAGTGACAAAAAATATTCACAAACATTTCAAATTTTTCCGACTTAAAATTTTCAAAATAATTTTTATCACTTGTGCTTAATTTAAAAAAAAAAAAAAAAAAAAAAAAAACTTATTTTCTTACATATTTTATCAATTCATAAAATTTCAAATTTTCATAAGAACTTTTTTTTTTTGAAAAAAAGAAAGAAAGAAGATGTATAACTGTATTATAATGTAATTTCATATCAAAAAATTATCCTATTATAATGAAAAAATCAAATGAAATAATATATCATTGACATATAAATAGCAAACAAAATTAATTATCATATTAAATTAAAATTTGAAATTAGGAAAAAGAGAACAATTCATTTTATTAGTTATGTCACATTACTTTTATACAATTATTTCAATCAATACAAAAGTTTTTTTAGTTTGATTCCATTTCAATCAACATATATAATAGTTTGATTCCATTTCAACATATATCATATTCGATACATTTATTTATTTATAATTATTATACTTCCCAGAACAATTTTCCAAAAACTTCAGCTAGAAAATAAAATTTATTACTTTTTCTAAAATATTTGAGCTATTATACAAGATAAACAATATTACATTCCAAATATTCTAAATTAAATAATACCAAATAGATATCCTTAAACATGCTAGAATTCCACATGCTAGAATAAATTTAAATAAAGCATAACCATTTAAATATCACCAAAAAAAAAAAGTATAGTAATTTAAGTAGACAAATTTTGAAAAAAAAAAAAAAAAAAAAAAGGTATGACATATATTAGTAGTTAAATTTGAAGGTAGCAATAATAACAATAACAGTAACAATATTTACAAATTCTTTGAAACTTAAAAGAAAATTAGTTTTTCTTAAAAAAGAAATATTTTTTCAATTTCATTAATTTCATCATTTTTAAATGAATATTTTTTGTTTCGCTGATTTTTTTTAACTAATCTAATTTAGGTACTAAATAGTTTAATTGATTCTTTTATTCTATATTATATTGCAACTAAAAAATAAAAAATTATTTCATAATTTAATTTAATCACTGAGTTATTCAATTTATTATCATCAAAACAGATAGCAAACATGATTTTTTTTTTGTAATTTTAGGTTTTTTTCTTTTTCTTTCCTATCATATTTTTGTTCTCATTTTTTTTTTTTTTTTTTTTTTGTTAAGCAAGAAAAAAAGACATAAAAATTCAATGAAATACCATACGGAAATTACATTTAAAAAAAAAAATTATTGATCATAAAACTTTCAATAGCCTTTGCAATTTTAACTTTTTATTTTGTTTTGTCCTTTTATCTCTTTCTTTTCTGGTCGTTTAATTCTAGAATTCATTCAGAAATTTATTCAGCCCTCATCGCTCCGCTACCACCCCGCGCCTACAGGCCGCCTTCGTCGCCCCGCCCCTAATACGCTTGCTTGACCACGCCCTTTTCGCCCCGCCTCCGCCACGCCCGCATGGCCACGCCCCTTTTCGTCCGCCCCCGCCATTACTGCACCTCTTATCACTGTACCTCTTATCACTGTACCTCTTATCACTGTACCTCTTATCACTGTTCTCTTATCCTGCCCTCTTATCACTGTACCTCTTATCACTGCACCTCTTATCACTGTACCTCTTATCACTGCACCTCTTATCACTGTACCTCTTATCACTGTACCTCTTATCACTGCACTCTTATCACTGTACACTCTTATCACTGCACCTCTTATCACTGAACCTCTTATCACTGCACCTCTTATCACTGTACCTTTTATCACTGCACCTCTTATCACTGTACCTCTTATCACTGCACCTCTTATCACTGTACCTCTTATCACTGTACCTCTTATCTGTACCTCTTATCACTGTACCTCTTGGTACCGCACCTTTTGGTACCGTACCTCTTGTTACCGCACCTTTGGTACCGTACCTCTTGGTACCGTACCTTATGGTACGTACTTTTTTGTTATTGTACCTCTTGTTACCGTACCTTTATCACTGCCTCTTGGTACCGTACCTTTTATCACCGTACCTCTTGGTACCGTACCTTTTGGTACCGTACCTCTTGTTACCGCACCTTTTGGTACCGTACCTCTTGTTACCGCACCTTTTGGTACCGTACCTCTTGGTACCGTACCTTTTATCACCGTACCTCTTGGTACCGTACCTCTTATCACTGTACCTCTTGGTACCGTACTTTTTGTTATGTACCTCTTGTTACCGTACCTTTTGGTACCGTACCTCTTGGTACCGTACCTTTTATCACCGTACCTCTTGGTACCGTATTTTTGTTATTGTATCTTTTGGTACCGTATCTTTTGTTGATGTACCTCTTGTTACCGTACCTTTTTATCACTGTATCTCTTGGTACCGTACCTCTTATCACTGTACCTCTGGTACCGTACTTTTGTTATTGTACCTCTTGTTACCGTACCTCTTGGTACCGAACCTCTTGTTACCGCACCTTTTGGTACCGTACCTCTTGGTACCGTACCTTTTATCACCGTACCTCTTGTAACCGTACTTTTATCACTGTACCTCTTGGTACCGTACTTTTATTATGTACCTCGTGGTACCGTATCTTTTATTACTGTACCTCTTATCACTGTACCTCTTGGTACCGTACTTTTTGTTGTATTGTACCTCTTGTTACCGTACCTTTTAGTACCGTACCTCTTGGTACCGTACCTTTTATCACCGTACCTCTTGGTACCGACTTGTTATTGTACCTCTTGTTACCGTACCTTTTGGTACCGTACCTCTTGGTACCGTACCTTTTATCACCGTACCTCTTGGTACCGTAATTTTGTTATGTATCTTTTAGTACCGTATCTTTTGTTAATGTACCTCTTGTTACCGCACCTTTTATTATTCTACTTCTTGTTACCGTACTTTTGTTGTACCTCGTGGTACCGTATCTTTTATGCGTACCTCTTGGTACCGTCCTCTTGTTACCGTACTTTTTTATCACTGTATCTCTTTGGTACCGTACCTCTTATCACTGTACCTCTTCGTACCGTACTTTTCTTATTTACTCTTGTACCGTACCTCTTGGTACCGTACTTTTGTTAACCTCGTGGTACCGTATCTTTATTACTGTACCTCTTGGTACCATACCTTTATCACCGTACCTCTTGGTACCGTAATTTTGTTATTGTATCTTTTGGTACCGTATCTTTTGTTAATGTACCTCTTGCTACCGTACTTCTTGTTACCGTACTTTTTATCACTGTATCCTTGGTACCGTACCTCTTATCACTGTACCTCTTGGTACCGTACTTTTTGTTATTGTACCTCTTGTTACCGTACCTCTTAGTACCGAACCTCTTGTTACGCTTTTTGGTACCATATCTTTTGTTAAAAGGTGATAGGAAGTACGGTACCAAATACAGTGATAAAAGTACGGTAACAAATTACGGAACCTAAAAGGTACGGTACCAAGAAGTACATTAATTTACGGTAACAAGAGGTACAATAACAAAAGTACGGTACCAAGAAGTACGATAAGGGTACGGTACCAGATGTTAAAGGTACGGTACAAGAAGGTGATAAAAGGTGCGGTACAAAGGTCGGACCAAAGGTGCGGTAACAAGAGGACACGATACCAAGGTACGGTACCAAGAATTACGGTGATAAAAGACGGACGACCAAGGCGACCACAATAATAAAATACGGTACCATAAGGTACGGTACCAAGAGGTACTGATACCATGCGTACCAAAATTTTATACCAAAAAGGTACGGTACCAAGGTACGGTGATAGAGGTACAGTGATAAGAGGTACAGTGATAGAAGGTACAGTGATAAAGGTACAGTGATTAAGTGCAGTGATAAGAGGTACAGTGATAAAAGGTACAGTGATAGAAGGTGCAGTCATTCAGTGATAAGAGGTGCAGTGATAAGAGGAACAGTGTAAGAGGTGCAGTGATAAGAGGTGCAGTGATAAGTGCAGTGATAGAGGTGCAGTGATAAGAGGTACAGTGATATAGAGGTGCAGTGATAAGAGGTGCAGTGATAAGAGGTGAGTGATAAGAGGTACAGTGATAAGAGGTGCAGTGATAAGAGGTACAGTGATAAGAGGTACGGTGATAAGAGGTACAGTGATAGAAGTACAGTGATAAGAGGTGCAGTGATAAGAGGTACAGTGATAAGAGGTACAGTGATAAAGGTGCAGTGATGGCGGGGGCGGGACGAAAAGGGGCGTGGCCATGCGGGCGTGGCGGAGGCGGGGCGAAAAAGGCGTGGTCAAGCAAGCGTATTAGGGGCGGGGCGACGAAGGCGTGGCCTGTAGGCGCGGGGGTGGTAGCGGAGCGATGAGGGCTGAATAAATTTCTGAATGAATTTTTCTAGAATTAAAACGACCAGAAAAGAAAGAGATAAAAGGACAAAAACAAAATAAAAAGTTAAAATTGCAAAGGCTATTGAAAGTTTTATGATCAATAATTTTTTTAAATAGAATTTCCGTATGGTATTTCATTGAATTTTTATGTCTTTTTCTTGCAACAAAAAAAAAAAAAAAAAATGAGAACAAAAAAATATGATAGGAAGAAAAAGAAAAAAACCTAAAATTACAAAAAAAAAAAAATCATGTTTGCTATCTGTTTTGATGATAATAAATTGAATAACTCAGTGATTAAATTAAATTATGAAATAATTTTTATTTTTAGTTGCAATATAATATAGAATAAAAGAATCAATTAAACTATTTAGTACCTAAATTAGATTAGTTAAAAAAATCAGCGAAACAAAAAATATTCATTTAAAAATGATGAAATTAATGAAATTGAAAAAATATTTTTCTTTTAAGAAAAACTAATTTTCTTTTAAAGTTTCAAAATTTGGTAAATATTGTTACTGTTATTGTTATTATTGCTACCTTTCAAATTTAACTACTAATATATGTCATACCTTTTTTTTTCTTTTTTTTTCAAAATTTGTCTACTTAAATTACTATACTTTTTTTTGGTGATATTTAAATGGTTATGCTTTATTTAAATTTATTCTAGCATGTGGAATTCTAGCATGTTTAAGGACATCTATTTGCTAATAATTTAGAATATTTGGAATGTAATATTGTTTATCTTGCATTGTATAATAGCTCAAATATTTTAGAAAAAGTAATAGTAAAAAAATTAGTAAAAAAAAAAAAGTAAAAAATTATGTTACTTATAAATTTAGTCATTGCTATTTTCAATTATGCAATATTTGATTCTTGAATTTGCAATTCAATTTTAAGTAATCGAATATTAGCTCATATTTCAGATAATATATGCTAATCAATGGCAATCAATGCAACTAATAAATGATCAAAAAGCATTCATTTTCGTCCTTTTTTTCTTTACATTTAGGAAAATTATCATTGAATAATAATCAGTTCAAAAAAAAAAAAGCATTGATCATAGCTAATTGATCAAAATAACTGCAATCATTTAGAATCAAATCACGATCATTTTAGACAAATCAAAAAATGATTGTTTAACTATCCAATAAAGCTAATAACAATTTTGTGGACAAATGTTCAATTATTTGACAAAATTTTCTTTGTGCATAAAAAAAAAAAAAAAAAAAAAACTAATCATAAAATAACAATTGAACACTGAAAATAAATTGATAATTAATAATAATAATTAAATTTTCTTATAAAATTCCTCAGTATGAAATAACAAATTTTGTCACTTATTTTTTTTTAAATCCTGAAATTGGTAATAGTTGTAGTTCTTCAAAATTTAGAAATTTTGAAAAGCAGATTATTTGTTATAAAATGAGCAAATTTCAAAACATATTTATAATTAATTTCAGGATAAAAAATCCTATCAAGAATTTACATGTGGTTTGAATTTATAATCTTTTCAATTTTAATACCAATAATTTTGAAATAGTTTTTAATATTACTTTAATTAAAAAAAAATTTATTAAGTATTACTTTAATCAAAATCAAAAATTGATTATATATTACTTTAATTTATTATATATTACTTTAATCAAAATCAAAAAGTTTAGCAATTAAGCTTACATATTACCTTCATGCTGAAAGCTAAATGATTGCAAAATTTCAAATTTAACATTTTCTTACACCTATTTTTATTTTAAAATAACTTAAAATTTTTGTTTTGCTAGATTTTTGTAGCTTAATTTAATTAAATAAGCTTTACCGATTGATATATTTCTCGAGAAAAATTTTTATAATTTTTGCAATCTGATATAAAAATTTGACTTTAGTGATAAATTTATAATTGATATAAACTGTTATCATATCTCTACTAGCCAAGCCAATAAGTGTTAAATTTTTCATCTAATGTTACCTAAGTTTCAAAAGCAGAATTTTATATTTATATTTTTAGCTTAAATTATATTTTTGTCAAATTAATTTTTCATTTAATTAAGAAAAGTTTATTATTTAAAAAATTCCATTCAGTTTTAATAGTTTCAAATAATTACAGCTATCAGTTTACGTAATTTATGCATATTTTAACAATTTCAGCAGTTTTATGCTTATATTTGAATTTATAATTTTAATTTTGCGCTCAAATCTTTTTTAGAATAATTGATTCGTGATAATATGAAGTTATTATCAGAACTATATTTGATAACTTTTAAAAATAACTAATTAATTGATAATTAGTAAAACTGCTATAGAATCCTAATTATTATTGATTAAATCTATTAGATTCAAAACATTTGCTGTTAAACTGAATGAAATTATGAAAATTTAATATAATTTTTTTTTTTGCTCATTAAATCATTAAATGATCAATGCCGCATTCTTTAAAAGCATTAATTGATTCAACTGATTTAATCAATATTATCAAATCAGTGTAAATAATTTACCAATATTATCATATCACAATATCAATGTAATTTAAGTAGATTAAGGATATTAAATGTTAAATTATTTTTATAATATCAATATTCTATCAGTTATAATCAGTGTGACATTTTTGTGACAATTTCTTTCCTAAATTCATTTGCATTCAAATGAAAGCACTTTTAATGATTTGTTAATTTATCAATTTTCTTAAACGCTCTTGCTGATCACACAGCTAATTGATAAATAACACATTTCAATTGTTTAGCTGATAAGATATATCAAAATGAACTTTTATAAGATTGATCTGAACATCTTAGCTAAATCATTCATTTATTTTCAAATTAATTTTTATTATCATAAACAACCAACAATTTAATTCTATTAATTTCATTCTTTGTCTTTCACAGTTTTTCCTAAAATTTAATCATTTCCCATCCATTAAATCAATTAATCTATTTGATAATAATAAATCAATCTTATGTGCAACAAATAATTCTTTTTTTTATCTCATAAATCGATTTGAAAATTGATTTATTATTATCAGTGTGTTTCAATCAGTTACAAAAGTGACAAAAAATATTCACAAACATTTCAAATTTTTCCGACTTAAAATTTTCAAAATAATTTTTTATCACTTTGCTTAATTTAAAAAAAAAAAAAAAAAAAAAACTTATTTTTCTTACATATTTTATCAATTCATAAAATTTCAAATTTTCATAAGAACTTTTTTTTTGAAAAAGAAAGAAAGAGAATGTATAACTGTATTTATAATGTAATTTCATATCACAAAATTATCCTATTATAATGAAAAAATCAAATGAAATAATATATCATTGACATATAAATAGCAAACAAAATTAATTATCATATTAAATTAAAATTTGAAATTAGGAAAAAAGAACAATTCATTTTATTAGTTATGTCACATTACTTTTATACAATTATTTCAATCAATACAAAAGTTTTTTTTTTTAGTTTGATTCCATTTCAATAACATATATAATAGTTTGATTCCATTTCAACATATATCATATTCGATACATTTATTTATTTTATAATTATTATACTTCAGAACAATTTTCCCAAAAAAACTTCAGCTAGAAAATCAAAATTTATTACTTTTTCTAAAGAGCTATTATACAAGATAAACAATATTACATTCAAATATTCTAAATTAAATAATACCAAATAGATATCCTTAAACATGCTAGAATTCCACATGCTAGAATAAATTTAAATAAAGCATAACCATTTAAATATCACCAAAAAAAAAAAATATAGTAATTTAAGTAGACAAATTTTGAAAAAAAAAAAAAAAAAAAAGGTATGACATATATTAGTAGTTAAATTTGAAAGGTAGCAATAATAACAATAACAGTAACAATATTTACCAAATTCTTTGAAACTTTAAAAGAAAATTAGTTTTTCTTAAAAAGAAAAATATTTTTCAATTTCATTAATTTCATCATTTTTAAATGAATATTTTTGTTTCGCTGATTTTTTTAACTAATCTAATTTAGGTACTAAATAGTTTAATTGATTCTTTATTCTATATTATATTGCAACTAAAAAAATAAAATTATTTCATAATTTAATTTAATCACTGAGTTATTCAATTTATTATCATCAAAACAGATAGCAAACATGATTTTTTTTTGTAATTTTAGGTTTTTTTCTTTTTCTTTCCTATCATATTTTTGTTCTCATTTTTTTTTTTTTTTTTTTTGTTAAGCAAGAAAAAAAGACATAAAAATTCAATGAAATACCATACGGAAATTACATTTAAAAAAAAATTATTGATCATAAAACTTTCAATAGCCTTTGCAATTTTAACTTTTATTTTGTTTTTGTCCTTTATCTCTTTCTTTTCTGGTCGTTTAATTCTAGAAAAATTCATTCAGAAATTTATTCAGCCCTCATCGCTCCGCTACCACCCCGCGCCTACAGGCCACGCCTTCGTCGCCCGCCCCTAATACGCTTGCTTGACCACGCCCTTTCGCCCTCCGCCACGCCCGCATGGCTACGCCCCTTTCGTCCCGCCCCCGCCATTACTACCTCTTATCACTGTACCTCTTATCACTGTACCTCTTATCACTGTACCTCTTATCACTGTACCTCTTATCACTGTACCTCTTATCCTGCACCTCTTATCACTGTACCTCTTATCCTGCACCTCTTATCACTGTACCTCTTATCACTGTACCTCTTATCACTTTTCATCACTGTACCTCTTATCACTGCACCTCTTATCACTGAACCTCTTATCACTGCACCTCTTATCACTGTACCATCACTGCACCTCTTATCACTGTACCTCTTATCACTGCACCTCTTATCACTGTACCTCTTATCACTGTACCTCTTATCACTGTACCTCTTATCACTGTACCTCTTGGTACCGCACCTTTAATTGCCGTACTCTTGTTACCGCACCTTTGGTACCGTACCTCTTGGTACCGTACCTATGGTACCGTACTTTTTGTTATTGTACCTCTTTGTTACCGTACCTTTTATCACCGTACCTCTTGTTAATACTTTATCTGCACCTCTTGTTACCGTACCTTTGGTACCGTACCTCTTGTTACCGCACCTTTTGGTACCGTACCTCTTGTTACCGCACCTTTGGTACCGTACCTCTTGGTACCGTACCTTTTATCACCGTACCTCTTGGTACCGTACCTCTTATCACTGTACCTCTTGGTACCGTACTTTTGTTATTGTACCTCTTGTTACCGTACCTTTTGGTACCGACCTCTTGGTACCGTACCTTTTATCCTGTACCTCTTGGTACCGTATTTTTGTTATGTATCTTTTGGTACCGTATCTTTTGTTGATGTACCTCTTGTTACCGTACTTTTTATCACTGTATCTCTTGGTACCGTACCTCTTATCACTGTACCTCTTGGTACCGTACTTTTTTATTGTACCTCTTGTTACCGTACCTCTTGTACCGAACCTCTTGTTACCTACCTTTTGGTACCGTACCTCTTGTACCGTACCTTTATCACCGTACCTCTTATAACCGTACTTTTTATCACTGTACCTCTTGGTACCGTACTTTTTGTTATTGTACCTCGTGGTACCGTATCTTTTATTACTGTACCTCTTATCACTGTACCTCTTGGTACCGTACTTTTGTTATTGTACCTCTTGTTACCGTACCTTTAGTACCGTACCTCTTGGTACCGTACCTTTTATCACCGTACCTCTTGGTACCGTACTTTTGTTATTGCCTACCTCTTGTTACCGTACCTTTTGGTACCGTACCTCTTGGTACCGTACCTTTTATCACCGTACCTCTTGGTACCGTAATTTTGGTATTGTATCTTTTAGTACCGTATCTTTTGTTAATGTACCTCTTGTTACCGCACCTTTATTATTCTACTTCTTGGTACCGTTTTTTTGTTATTGTACCTCGTGGTACCGTATCTTTTATTACTGTACCTCTTGGTACCGTACCTCTTGTTACCGTACTTTTTTATCACTGTATCTCTTGGTACCGTACCTCTTATCACTGTACCTCTTCGTACCGTACTTTTCTTATGCCTCTTGTTACCGTACCTCTTGGTACCGTACTTTGTTATTGTACCTCGTGGTACCGTATCTTTTATTACTGTACTCTTGGTACCGTACCTTTTATCACCGTACCTCTTGGTACCGTAATTTTTAATTGTGTATCTTTTGGTACCGTATCTTTGTTAATGTACCTCTTTACCGTACTTCTTGTTACCGTACTTTTTATCACTGTATCTCTTGGTACCGTACCTCTTATCACTGTACCTCTTGGTACCGTACTTTTTGTATTGTACCTCTTGTTACCGTACCTCTTAGTACCGAACCTCTTGTTACCGCGCCTTTTGGTACCATATCTTTGTTAAAACGGTGATAGGAAGTACGGTACCAAGATACAGTGATAAAAAGTACGGTAACAAGGTACCAGAAGGTACAGTAATAAAACTACGGTAGAGGAATACGGTAACAAAAGTACGGTACCAAGAGGATACAGTGATAAGAGGTACGGTACCAGAAGTACGGTGATAAAGGTACGGTACCAAGGGTACGGTACCAAAGGTACGGTGACATAAGAAAGGTACGGTACCAAAAGGTACGGTAACAAGAGGTACGGTATAAAAAGGTACGGTACCAAGGGTACGGTGATAAAAGACGGTACAAGAGGCATGTAAAGTGCAGATGCGGTCGGTACCCAGGGTACGGATTTCAAGGTACGGTAATAAAGATACGGTACAAAGGTACGGTACCAAGGAATACAGTGATAAGAGGTACGGTGATAAGTACAGTGATAAAAGGTACAGTGATAAGGAGTACAGTGATAAGTGCAGTGATAAGGTACAGTAAGTGCAGTATAAGAGGTACAGTGATAAAGAGGTGATGTATAGAGGTGCAGTGATAAAAGGTGCAGTGATAAGAGGTACAGTGATAAGAGGTGCAGTGATAAGTACAGTAGAGGTGCAGTGATAAGAGGTGACGTGATAAGAGGTACAGTGATGAAGTACAGTGATAGAGGTGCAGTGATAAGAGGTACAGTGATAAAGGTACGGTGATAGAGGTACAGTGATAGAGGTGCAGTGATAAGAGGTGCAGTGATAAGAGTACAGTGATAAGTACAGTGAGGTGCAGTAATGGGGCGGGACGAAAAGGGCGTGGCCATGCGGGCGTGGCGGAGGCGGGGCGAGGCGTGGTCAAGCAAGCGTATTAGGGGCGGGGCGACGAAGGCGTGGCCTGTAGGCGCGGGGTGGTAGCGGGCGATGAGGGCTGAATAAATTTCTGAATGAATTTTTCTAGAATTAAAACGACCAGAAAAGAAAGAGATAAAAGGACAAAAACAAAAATAAAGTTAAAATTGCAAAGGCTATTGAAAGTTTTATGATCAATAATTTTTTTTTTTAAATAGAATTTCCGTATGGTATTTCATTGAATTTTTATGTCTTTTTTCTTGCTTAACAAAAAAAAAAAAAAAAAAAATGAGAACAAAAAATATGATAGGAAAGAAAAAGAAAAAAAAACCTAAAATTACAAAAAAAAAAATCATGTTTGCTATCTGTTTTGATGATAATAAATTGAATAACTCAGTGATTAAATTAAATTATGAAATAATTTTTTATTTTTAGTTGCAATATAATATAGAATAAAAGAATCAATTAAACTATTTAGTACCTAAATTAGATTAGTTAAAAAATCAGCGAAACAAAAAATATTCATTTAAAAATGATGAAATTAATGAAATTGAAAAAATATTTTCTTTTAAGAAAAACTAATTTTCTTTTAAAGTTTCAAAGAATTTGGTAAATATTGTTACTGTTATTGTTATTATTGCTACCTTTCAAATTTAACTACTAATATATGTCATACCTTTTTTTTTCTTTTTTTTTTTCAAAATTTGTCTACTTAAATTACTATACTTTTTTTTTTTTGTGATATTTAAATGGTTATGCTTTATTTAAATTTATTCTAGCATGTGGAATTCTAGCATGTTTAAGGACATCTATTTGCTAATATTTAATTTAGAATATTTGGAATGTAATATTGTTTATCTTGCATTGTATAATAGCTCAAATATTTTAGAAAAAGTAATAAAGTAAAAAAAAAAAAAAAAAAAAAATAAATTATATTTTCTAAATTTAGTCATTGCTATTTTCAATTATTAGCAATATTGATTCTTGAATTTGCAATTCAATTTTAAGTAATCGAATATTAGCTCATATTTCAGATAATATATGCTAATCAATGGCAATCAATGCAACTAATAAATGATCAAAAAGCAATTCATTTCGTCCTTTTTTTTTCTTTACATTTAGGAAAATTATCATTGAATAATAATCAGTTCAAAAAAAAAAAAAGCATTGATCATAGCTAATTGATCAAAATAACTGCAATCATTTAGAATCAAATCACGATCATTTTAGACAAATCAAAAAATGATTGTTTTAACTATCAATAAAGCTAATAACAATTTTGTGGACAAATGTTCAATTATTTGACAAAATTTTCTTTGTCGCAAAAAAAAAAAAAAAAAAAAAAAAAAACTAATCATAAATAACAATTGAACACTGAAAATAAATTGATAATTAATAATAATAATTAAATTTTTTCTTATAAAATTCCTCAGTATGAAATAACAAATTTTGTCAATATTTTTTTTTAAATCCTGAAATTGGTAATAGTTGTAGTTCCTTCAAAATTTGAGAAATTTTGAAAAAGCAAGATTATTTGTTATAAAAATGAGCAAATTTCAAAACATATTTATAATTAATTTCAGGATAAAAAATCTATCAAGAATTTACATGTGGTTTGAATTTATAATCTTTTCAATTTTAATACCAATAATTTTGAAATAGTTTTTAATATTACTTTAATTAAAAAAAAAAATTTATTAAGTATTACTTTAATCAAAATCAAAAATTGATTATATTTACTTTAATTTATTATATATTACTTTAATCAAAATCAAAAAGTTTAGCAATTAAGCACATATTACCTTCATGCTGAAAGCTAAATGATTGCAAAATTTCAAATTTAACATTTTCTTACACCTATTTTTATTTTAAAATAACTTAAAATTTTTGTTTTGCTAGATTTTGTAGCTTAATTTAATTAAATAAGCTTTACCGATTGATATATTTCTCGAGAAAAATTTTTATAATTTTGCAATCTGATATAAAAATTTGACTTTAGTGATAAATTTATAATTGATATAAACTGTTATCATATCTCTACTAGCCAAGCCAATAAGTGTTAAATTTTTCATCTAATGTTACCTAAGTTTCAAAAACAATTTTATATTTTATTTTTTAGCTTAAATTATATTTTTGTCAAATTAATTTTTTCATTTAATTAAGAAAAGTTTATTATTTAAAAAAATTCCATTCAGTTTTAATAGTTTCAAATAATTACAGCTATCAGTTTTACGTAATTTATGCATATTTTAACAATTTCAGCAGTTTTATGCTTATATTTGAATTTATAATTTTAATTTTGCGCTCAAATCTTTTTTAGAATAATTGATTCGTGATAATATGAAGTTATTATCAGAACTATATTTGATAACTTTTAAATAACTAATTAATTGATAATTAGTAAAACTGCTATAGAATCCTAATTATTGATTAAATCTATTAGATTCAAAACATTTGCTGTTAAACTGAATGAAATTATGAGAAATTTAATATAATTTTTTTTTTTTTTTGCTCATTAAATCATTAAATGATCAATGCCGCATTCTTTAAAAGCATTAATTGATTCAACTGATTTAATCAATATTATCAAATCAGTGTAAATAATTTACCAATATTATCATATCACAATATCAATGTAATTTAAGTAGATTAAGGATATTAAATGTTAAATTATTTTTATAATATCAATATTCTATCAGTTATAATCAGTGTGACATTTTTGTGACAATTTCTCCTTTCCTAAATTCATTTGCATTCAAATGAAAGCACTTTTAATGATTTGTTAATTTATCAATTTTTTTTCTTAAACGCTCTTACGCTGATCACACAGCTAATTGATAAATAACACATTTCAATTGTTTAGCTGATAAGATATATCAAAATGAACTTTTATAAGATTGATCTGAACATCTTAGCTAAATCATTCATTTATTTTCAAATTAATTTTTATTATCATAAACAACCAACAATTTAATTCTATTAATTTCATTCTTTGTCTTTCACAGTTTTTTTCCTAAAATTTAATCATTTCCATCCATTAAATCAATTAATCTATTTGATAATAATAAATCAATCTTATGTGCAACAAATAATTCTTTTTTTTTTTATCATAAATCGATTTGAAAATTGATTTATTATTATCAGTGTGTTTCAATCAGTTACAAAAGTGACAAAAAATATTCACAAACATTTCAAATTTTTCCGACTTAAAATTTTCAAAATAATTTTATCATGTGCTTATTTAAAAAAAAAAAAAAAAAAAAAAAAAAAAAACTTATTTTCTTACATATTTTATCAATTCATAAAATTTCAAATTTTCATAAGAACTTTTTTGAAAAAAGAAGAAAAGAAGATGTATAACTGTATTATAATGTAATTTCATATCACAAAAATTATCCTATTATAATGAAAAATCAAATGAAATAATATATCATTGACATATAAATAGCAAACAAAATTAATTATCATATTAAATTAAAATTTGAAATTAGGAAAAAGAAACAATTCATTTTATTAGTTATGTCACATTACTTTTATACAATTATTTCAATCAATACAAAAGTTTTTTTAGTTTGATTCCATTTCAATCAAACATATATAATAGTTTGATTCCATTTCAACATATATCATATTCGATACATTTATTTATTTTATAATTATTATACTTCCCAGAACAATTTTCCCAAACTTCAGCTAGAAAATCAAAATTTATTACTTTTTCTAAAATATTTGAGCTATTATACAAGATAAACAATATTACATTCAAATATTCTAAATTAAATAATACCAAATAGATATCCTTAAACATGCTAGAATTCCACATGCTAGAATAAATTTAAATAAAGCATAACCATTTAAAATATCTTTAAAAAAAAAAAAAAGTATAGTAATTTAAGTAGACAAATTTTGAAAAAAAAAAAAAAAAAAAGATGACATATATTAGTAGTTAAATTTGAAAGGTAGCAATAATAACAATAACAGTAACAATATTTTAAATTCTTTGAAACTTTAAAAGAAAATTAGTTTTCTTAAAAGAAAAATATTTTTTCAATTTCATTAATTTATCATTTTTAAATGAATATTTTTGTTTCGCTGATTTTTTAACTAATCTAATTTAGGTACTAAATAGTTTAATTGATTCTTTTATTCTATATTATATTGCAACTAAAAAATAAAAAATTATTTCATAATTTAATTTAATCACTGAGTTATTCAATTTATTATCATCAAAACAGATAGCAAACATGATTTTTTTTTGTAATTTTAGGTTTTTCTTTTTCTTTCCTATCATATTTTTGTTCTCATTTTTTTTTGTTAGCAAGAAAAAAAGACATAAATTCAATGAAATACCATACGGAAATTACATTTAAAAAAATTATTGATCATAAAACTTTCAATAGCCTTTGCAATTTTAACTTTTTATTTTGTTTTTGTCCTTTTATCTCTTTCTTTTCTGGTCGTTTTAATTCTAGAAAAATTCATTCAGAAATTTATTCAGCCCTCATCGCTCCGCTACCACCCCCGCGCCTACAGGCCACGCCTTCGTCGCCCCGCCCCTAATACGCTTGCTTGACCACGCCCTTTTCGCCCCGCCTCCGCCACGCCCGCATGGCCACGCCCCTTTTCGTCCCGCCCCGCCATTACTGCACCTCTTATCACTGTACCTCTTATCACTGTACCTCTTATCACTGTACCTCTTATCACTGTACCTCTTATCACTGCACCTCTTATCACTGTACCTCTTATCACTGCACCTCTTATCACTGTACCTCTTATCACTGCACCTCTTATCACTGTACCTCTTATCACTGCACCTCTTATCACTGTACCTCTTATCACTGCACCTCTTATCACTGTACCTCTTATCACTGCACCTCTTATCACTGTACCTCTTATCACCACCTCTTATCACTGTACCTCTTATCACTGCACCTCTTATCACTGTACCTCTTATCACTGTACCTCTTATCACTGT